TTTGTTTTCTTGATATTGAGCTTCAATCCATATTGAAGACTGCAGTCCTTGACCTTCTGCAGCAAGTGCTTCAGGTCCTCCTCAGTTTCAGCAAGCAGGATTGTGTCATCTGCATAATGCAGGTTATTGACGATTCTTAACATTACAAAGACTATTATATTCACAAGTATAGGGATTCAGATTTATAACACAACAAATAATCTGGGGTTGGGGAGTACACAGTTTAGTCTACAATGGGAGGAAGAGAATGTTTAAAAAAGATCTTAGGTACATAATTGAGTATGTTCATCTCTGGACTCCTATGTGATGTGAAATAGCATCTGGATAAAGAGTCTAAACCTCAGAAGGCATGAGATGGAGAAATAAATTTCTGACTTGTAGCACAAAGATGGCACTGTAAGTCAAATGTGTAGCTGAGATTGCTTGCCTATAGAGTAAGAGGAGGAGAAAATTAATTTGGCATCCACTTCCTACACTACATGCCCCTGGAAGTCTATGAACACAGAGAAACAATAATAGATATAGTACAGGGTTCAAGTCTTTTGTTCATAGGGTCACTACGAGTTGTGCTTGACTTGATGGCACCTAACAACAATAGTTAGTAAAAGAGAAATGCCAACATTCAAATGTCAGAGAAGATTAGTAGCTGAGAAGGGTATGAATTAACAAAAGCACAGAAAGCTTTAACCAGACAAACCAGAGCTAAGGTTCACAAACTGGTCTCACCAGCTGTCTCTTATTAACTCCCATACAAAACATATTTTTTTTTTGTCTTTGATTAAAATAAATACAGGAAAAAATGCTCCTATATACACTCACTGGCTAGAGTACTTCAATCTTTTCATAAGAAGAGATAAAAGTATAACACTACTTCTTAGCCCAGAAGCTATAAAGTGGACCTAATAAAAATAAATGACATTTTATGATTATAGTCTTTGAAGTTTTCCTAAGAGATATGGTGATACGAGAATGGAAAGAACACCTTTTTATAAAGAATTATGAAACACACCTAATGTTTGCTGGGGCATATGAGACTTACTTTGAGGGAACCTTTCAAAATATAGCCAGTATTAACTGAAATAGAGTTGAGAGTATGGGGATTCAATACTACTACTAGTTTCAGACTAGAGCCCAAACACTGCAGACATTTCAGCTTATGGAACCACTTTTAAAAAATTCCATCCACAAATATCCCATCTTAAACTAGAAAATGAATGTATACTTATTATGGAATGAATGAAACACACATCCATTGGTGGTGTGAATGTAAAATGGTACAGTTACTAAGGAAAACAGTCTGGAAGTTCCTCAAGCAGCTGAATATAATTACAGAATCCAGCAATCCTAAATCCCAGCTATATACTCAGGAGAAGCAAAGGCAGAAATTCACACAGAAATCTACACCAATGTACACTGCCACACTTTCATGACAGCCAAAATGTGGAAACAA